TAAGGATCTTCCCAGTAACCTTGGCATGATTTCTCAAATATCTCTCAAGAGTATGGCAGGGAGACGTGGGGCAGTGAGGTGGGTCACCTTGGGCAGGAGATCTCTGGTCTCCCATGTTCTTCCCTGGACTCCCACTCTTTGCAGAAGGAGCAATTGGGAGAGGTGAGAGTGGGACAATTTCTACCTGTTCCTGAAGAGGCCAGCCTCCATGGCCTCCTCACTCAGCTTCTTGTCTGAGACACCAGCGTCTCCCCTCCACTATCACTTAAACAGCTGCCACCCTTCCTCACCCCAAAAGACCTGTCTGGCTTTGAACTCCCTGAGCCCCTTTCATCTAAGCCTAATCAATGAGCTTTTACTGAGACCAATTAATGCCTGACTGTGGCCTGAGTCACAGGTGGTGGTACTGAAGCTCTCAGGGCTGGTAAAGGATATGGCAGCACCTCCACTGAGTCAGGGACAACCTGGCTCAGCTACCAAGGCAATGTGCTGAGTCACACCCAACCTGGGCCGCTTCCGCAGCAGGTGCAAAGATTCTGAGACCGCTTCCAAGCACACAGCAGGCACATGAAGGCAGGTAGGGCATGGAGTCCAGCCAGAAGCCTGGAGGGTACCTGCCTGGGAGACAACAACCTGCAGCTCTGACTCGGCGCTCCAAAGTGAAGTCCAACTATTGGATTACAGGCTGGACCAGTCCAGTCTGATATTACAAGGGTCGGAAGGTCTAAGGACCAGAGAAAAGGGGCCTGGGAAGTCCTTGGAAGCTATCATGTGCCTTTATACATAAAATAATGTGGTACTAAGATATAAAGGAATCTGGTTCCTATACAGCCCAAGTCAATTGCTTGGGCTTCTTATTTTTTGCATGTGCGAGCTTCTAACATCTTTTCATCTGCAACAGGGGCGGGTAACTTTTTTCTGCCAAAATTTATAATGTCATTCACAGGCCATACAAAATTATCAACTTAAAAATTAGACTGCTATATTTGGTCAAATATTTCATCAATTCACCCCTAATATAATGGCTGGAACTGCAATTGCCTTGGCAGGGCCAGACCAAATGATTTTGTAGGCCTTTTGCAGAGTCCTGGTGTGGCACTGTGGGTTAATGTGCTGGACTGCAGAGTTGATTTGAACTGCAAGGTAAGCAGTTCAAGCTCACAAGCCGCTCCTTGGAAACCCTATACAGGGTCGCTATGTATTGGAACCAACTCCATCGCACTTTAACAATAACAACAATACAGCCCTTGGGCTGGACATTCCCACCCTGTCTACAAAGACAATATATCATGGAAACTTCCTATGTATCTCCATGTTTCCCCAGCACCAATCCCTTCCACTGTAGCCTCCCCATCACTCTAAGCTGATTCAGTGACTTGAAGGGGGGTACAGGGCTCATTTCACCTCTGAACATGAGAGGTGATGGGAAGCTGAAGCTGAAGCCATTTTTAGCAGTAATCCCCACCTATCCAAAGCTCCAACCTCTAGCAGTAATACAGTCTTGGTTCTTCCTGAACCCAATCCCCATTTGAGTCCTCACAAGAGTAATCGTTTTTTTCCCATCTTTGTCTCCAGCCTGCACCCCCATCTCTGTAACCTGGGCTTACATAGTCTCCTGCTGGCTCCTGCATCCTACCATCAGGTTCCACCAGTTCCTACTTAAAGCCAGGACCTTTCCCCTGTAATTATCCCCACTTGTTGCCCTGAGTGAGAAGGGTAGAAGATAAATAATGCCTATGTAGCCACTAGCTGCACACTCCAGCTGCCTTCCTGCCTCTCAGGATTGTCCCACTTCTAGGAATGTCTAGGCTCCTATGATGAGTCAGACCAGCCTGAGTCTGAGGGAGCTGCTCACGGCTTCTCAGGGATACTGAGCAATTGTATCAAGTCTCCCCTACCTTTTCCCTCAGATCAGTGATAGTGGTATCTCTAGGGTTGGTGTCACCCAGTCCAGTAACTCACAATGTCACACACTCACAACACACCCCATGGACCTTCTCCCATACCAGATTATACAGAGTTTTTTAACAATGTTTATTATCAATTTTAATTATAATATAGTTGTAAATTGATTAAATATATTTCTTAGATTAGTCCACCAGCCACGTCGTGGGAGAAAGATGAGGTTTTCTGCAAAGATTTATAGCTCAGAAGCCCTTTACAGGGTCATTATGAGTAGGAACCAACTAGATGGCACTAATCCAAACCAAAATTGTTGTGTAAAATCTATCTATATTGAATTGTTGGGTGTAAAACTAATGTTCTGCTCCATAAACATTTACCCAATTCACAATAAAAAAACATTTTTTTAAAAATCTATCTACAGTGAATTGCATTGTTAGGTACAGCATTATAGGTATAAGCAGACATCTTGGTTTTCTCTTTTTCCTTTAATTATGACTTCATTCTCAAAAGGGATATTGATATAGGTTCACAAATACTAATTACCACAATATTGTAGTTAAAGCCCTAGAAAATTTAACAAATCAGTGACTTTAAAAACACCGGCACCAACAAAAACCAAGTGTGCGTGATTGGAAGCATCGCTGTAATTGACATGGTAATGACAGCTCTGCCCAGAAAGCATTAGAAGGTTCAGAAAGTAAATTAGTATGGAGGCATATTAGCCTTGTAAGTATATTGATACATGTAAGCTGGTCTCACAAAAATATTTTTATTGTTTTAACTAACTACAGAAATATTTTTTTTTATTTAAAAAGATATATGTAATTTTGTTTTCTGAAAATGCACAAAAATTTTTGCTGAAACACTGTATAAAAAAGAATGTCACCCAGTGTGGTCCACACGTACCCTGCAGCTCCCTAGTGATGCCACTGATGAGTACGGTGGTATAAGCATCAAGGTCCAGTTCTGAGACGGAGATTCCCTGAGGAACATGGAGGGAGAGTGGGCAGCTCAGGCACCACCACCTGGGCAGCGCTCGGATTCTCTCCCAAACCATCTTTATTGCTCAGAGGTGGCTATATACTTACTGCCTTCTCTGAAACCAGATCTTTGTTTATGTAACCTCTAACTGCCCCATGTCCAGGTCCTGTCAGAATGTTCTTAGTTTTAGGGCTTGGGATCTGCCAGGTGCCACAAGACCTGCCTTTTCATGAGCCACAATCAGTTCTTTCTGCTTGATGTGCTCCAGTGGGCCTGCCCCTCCCGGTCCTTGGTGTGCAGCTGGGCAAACTCCAGGCCCCGCAGGGCTCTTTCTGGCCTTTCTGGGCAAGAAGATTCCCTAAAATAGGTTAAGCACTCGCTCCTTGGTTCCTGCAGCTATTAGCTGAGCACTAGGCAAGGTCAGCAGTTCAAACTCACCAGTCACTCCTCAGAAATCCTATAGAGAGAGGTTCACTATGAGTTGCAACTAACTCACAGACACTATTAACAACAGCAAATGTGAACTTAGGTAAGCTACTGTGCTAGCTGTGAGGGATGCAGTGTCTGCTCCCATCCTAGGTGGGCACCAGGTCTTCCAGGTACCCTGAGAGAGGAGGATATCAGGTACCCTAGGTAGCAGGCTTACTGGGAGCAGCCCAAGCGGCTGATGGACTGCCTGTCTGGATGGAGCAACAGTCCTCCCTGATGTGGAAGGTGGACAAGGCACCTGGGGAAGCTGTGACTGTCCTGAGGAAGAAGAAGTACAGGAAGCAGCTTGCTGACTCTCCTGGGGCCCCATGTAAAGAGGACTCTTGCCCAAAGCCCTTGTAACCTGGCGTTGTAAACACCCAGGACGCACCCATCAGCTGTCCTCTGCCTCTGCAGGGCCCATCAAGGGACACATATGGGGCTCTGGACTTACAAAATGGAACACCATGGTGGTGGGAGGCGGGACGTGGGGAGCACTGATGACAATTGGATGAAGCCTCCCTGCCCTCGACATAAATATGGGGAAGTGGCTCTATCCCTGGAAGCTGGCACTTCAGCCTAAAATGGGGTCCTGGTAATCAGGGCTCTCCCAAAGGGTTTGACAATATTCTGAAGGTTTGAGAAATCTGGTGGAGAACAGCTGGGGAAAGGCAGCAAGAATAGGCTGACCTGAATGCTGCTCATACCATGCTAAGTGCCTAGAACTGTAACTGGCACATGGCTGTTGTTAAGTGCCGTCGAGTTGATTCCGACCCATAACATGGTAGGCCCCTGTAAAGTATTTGAGTGGGTGAATGAAAGAGTAGTTTGGGGTAAAGGAAGAATAACTAAAACAGATAAGAGTGGCTTTGGGAGCCACTGAGGAAAGCCCAGCTACCTGAGTGAGGGGCTGTGTTTGGGAGAGAGAGCACTGAGCTGGCAGGTGAGGAGCTGCCCCAATGGGGGAATGAATGGGCAGGTGTCTATGTTGAGGCACTGCCTGGGGTTGAAAGGGCGCTGGTAGAAGACCGCTGAGACAAGAGAAGCAAGCCCAGGTTCAAACATCACCCCTTCACAGATGTGGTCTGAGTCATGAGCGTGAGCAGGCTAAGAGCTCAGTCTCAGGCCCAGCCCTGGAACCTTCTTCCCCAGCTCCACCCAGCCCAGCCCTTACCCCAACCCCTCTCTGAGAGAGCACCTCTAGCTCCCCTCTCTTAGTGCCCTGAAATGCCTCTCAAACTGAGCATGAGACAGGGGCAGAGACAAGACTGTGCTGGACGTGGACTTGAGGACACCATTGCGAGGGATCACAAAAAGGCCTAGAGACACCAAGACAAAAAGACCACTTGGCTTACAAATGTTGGTCATGCTAGAGACCCAGACACAAAAGAGCTCCAGTAACACCCCCTCCCCCTGAGCATCACCGTGTCTACAACCTGGTCTCTCCTACCTGATTTCCCTCCACATTCAGTACCCAGTAGCAACCACATCCCCACAAAGAAAGCTGAGCAATTAGTTAGAGAAGAATAGATTTAATCTGTAGCTATGAAACATCTAGGTTAGCAGCAAATAGAGACACCAGGAGACTGGGCAGAATCTGTCCCCTGAAGGTGTCCCTCAGGGCACAGAGACCTCCCCCTCCCCCGTCAGTTCACAGAGGTGACTGGCAGGATGTTAGCTTTGCGTTCAGCTTCGATGCAATACTTCTCAGGAAGACCAGTGGCTCTGCAGTGGGGGAAAGGAGGACATGAGGAAGGTATGAGGGATGATGTCAGACCTGAGTGGAGGCAGTGGGGAGTTTGGTCCTACTCCTAAAGTACAGCCCCCACCCAAATACATTCTTATCAAGGCCCGGGCATCCCACCATAGAGTTTGAGAGAGCCAGGAAGAGCAGGACTTCCTGCTGGGGTCCCTCGAGACAAGAGAAGGATGGTCCATGAGCATATGCATCAGAGAGTCCCTTCACTGTCCAGTCTGCTGTGCCCTCTCACAGGGAAGGGGAGGGAATCTGAGAGGACAAGGGGCTCCCACCAACCTCAGCTCTTCAAGCTTTTTCTTCTTGATGTCATCCATGCGTTCACGACGCCTCTGGGCCTCCTCTTTGAGGCGCCGGCCCTCCTCAAAAGTAGCAATCCGTTCCTGCACCTGCTTCTGCTGATTCTCTCGTACCTGGCGCCTGAGCTCGTTGGCATGCTGCTGGCGCCCTGTGGCCTTTTTCTCCTCCTCCAGCCGTTCCTTTTCAATCTGTTCTCTCTGGGCCCTGGAAGAGGACACACAGGGAATGGTATAGGTGAGGCTGAGGTGCCTCCAGTGGATGAGCTTCAGAGAACACAGCCCACCATGCCCATGCCTTCTACCACAGCTTGGCTGCTACCACGCGGGCACCCCCATCCACCTAGCTTCATGAACATAATGACCCACACAGTCATGCAGGGCCCCAAGATTAGAAGGAATTGAGCTTGGTTTAAGGTTCCACCATCACCATTTTGAAATTCTTAATTTTTGAGCCAGGAACCCCACATTTTCATGTAAATGATATAGCTGGTCCTGCAACCAGGGTTTCACCCAACGTGAACTTTTATTCTTAGTCTTCTCGCTTACAACAATGCACAACTCCTCTCCAGCTGTTCTAAGATTTGTTCTTTTCTTCCTTTCTTTCTCACCACCCTTTCCTGAACAATAATATTGTTAATATTATTTATTAACAATATTTGTTAATAACATTAACAAAACCAACCAGGGAATGTTGTTCAAAGAAGTGGTAAAGTTTTGGATGCTTGATTGCTGGAAGGATGGAGCTGGGCCTGCTATCTTTTAGTTCTCTTCTTGATCTTCCCTAGTTCCTCTTCAGAGCCTCTTCCCCAAGAATGTGTCACAGAACTCAACTCCAGGGAGAAAATCATAGTGGCAACAAGATAGGCTCAGAAACTTCAGATGAAATATATTCAACTCTCAGAAGATATACAATTATAGGCCATGAGCTAATTTTCCAATTTTTTTCTCAATGTAATTGAAAAAAGTAAAGCCATTTTAGCCAGGGATCTCTTACCTGCCTTCCCCTTAAGGTTGCTCAGTCCAACCAAGGCCCTGAAAGCTCTCCTTCCCTTACGTATTTTTCTTGAGCATCTTCCCAGACACAGCATCACGAGGTATCCTCTCAACTCCAGCAACTCTGTTCCAACACTCAGACATCTCCTTAAATGCTACACCTTCCACAGAGCCTTCCTGGTTAATCAGATGAGAATGCTGGCCTCCTTGCCCCTCACTATTTAGATAACAAACCCCAACTCCTCAGACATCTGTGATAACATCCAGACTCTCCTCTTGAACTACCACTGTCTTCCTACATGTATATTGTTGTTGTTGTTGTTAAGTGCCTTCGAGTCAGTTCCAACCCATAGTGACCCTGTACAGGGTTTCTGAGGGTGTAAATCCTTACGGGAGTAGAAAGCCTCATCTTTCTCCCACGGAGTGACTGGTAGTTTCAAACTGCTGACCTTAAGGTTCGTAGCCCGATTCGTAACCACTATGCTACCAGATGCTGGCCTCCTTGCCCCTCACTATTTAGATAACAAACCCCAACTCCTCGGACATCTGTGATAACATCCAGACTCTCCTCTTGTACTACCACTGTCTTACAACATGTATAAAAGCTGTTTATTGCTTCACATCTTCTAGGTGGAGGAGTAAATGTAGAATGGGGTGCCTATGTGTGTCCCAAGAGAACTGTTGTTGTTATTGTTGTTGTTATGTGCCATGGAGTCGATTCCAACTCATTGCAACCTGTATAGGGTTTCCAAGGAGCAGCTGGTGGTTTTGAACTGCTGACCTTGTGTTTCATAGTCCAGTGCTGATCCTACAGTGCCATACCTGGGTGGTAAAAATATTTTTAAAAAACAATGAAATCAAGTGCCATCAAGTTATTTCCAAGTCATGACGATTCCATGTTTATAGAGTAGAACTGTGGTCCAAAAGGTTTGCAAGGCTGTGAGCTTTCAGAAGCAGATCGCCAGGTCTTTCTTTCAACATACCTCTGGGTGGGTGTGAACCACCAGCCCTGTGGTTAGTAGTTCAGTGCTGAACTCTTGGTACTATCCACAGACTCCCAATAAGGGTGGTGAACAGTTGAAAATCCAAATGGGGGAGAGGTCTGGCCATTCCGTGGGATTAGGGCAGTGATCCTACCACTCATTTCTGTCAGTCTGTCGTCCTGTGCTGGCTTGCATGTTGTTAAGTGGCATGTTCTGGAAGCTATGCCACTGGTATTTTAAATACCAGCAGGGTCAACCACGGTGGACAGGTTTCAGCTGAGCTTCCAGATGAAGACAGACTAGGAAGAAGGAGAGACGGACTACTTCTAAACATTTAGACACTGAAAACCTTATGAACAGCAGTGGAACATGTCAGATAGCATCAGGTTACTGACTGTTGACACATGATAAAGAGCACCAGAATATTGTCAGATACGTGGATTGGCACAGTGGCAGCACCGATGAGCTCAAACGTAGCAATGATTGTGAGTTTGGTGCACGAACGGGCAGTGTTTTGTTCTGTTATGCACATAGTTACTATGAGTCTATACCAACTGGATGGCACCTAACAACAACAACAAGGGTAATGATCATAAAACCTTCCTGGTTGGCTGCATACCAGAATCACTTGTGACCTTTCAAAAATACTGATGCTGGGCTTTACCCACAGACCATTTAGACCAGTATCTGTGGAGGTAGAGCCCGGGCATGGGGTTTTTGTTGTTGTATGGTGTTTGTTTTTTAACAACTCCCAGGTACTTTTAAGAACTACCGAGTAGGATAGATCAGCTATCTCTGCTTGGACAACAGACCGAGATGTAAAGGAATCCCTTTTTGCAGAAGCAGGAAGTCCATATACAGGAGGCCAGGCTTTTGAAGTAGGGACAACTGTATTGCTAGTGGTGGCAGAGGTGCTCCAAGAGTGAAGACACTGACCATGATAGTCACGTGGCCTTGGAGACACTAGGTCTAGATGGTAGCCTACAAGTGGTGAAGCTGACTTCTCCAAAGGGTTGCTCCAGCTTTAATAACTGGCTAGAGCTCATGCTTCAGGCAAACAAACAAAGCACAGACAAATGGGTCAGCAGCAAAAGGGGGACTTTAATTCCATTCCATTAGCATCTATTAGTGCCTGCTAAAGGCAATGCAGATTATCCAAGGGCATAGAAGCTAAGAGGGGAGGGAAGATAGTTGAAAGACAGTCTGAGCCCAGGGGCAGAATATTTGGGTCCATTTAGGAAGTCACCTTCTTCAGTGTCCAGAAACCATGCTACGACCCTTGAGGGCAGGGGAAAGGTACAGAGCCACAGGGCTTCACAGACAGTGGGGACACGCTAGAGTCCAGTAAAAGACAAGGAATCTGGTTCTGGGAAGGACTGAGATTCCTCCAGACCTGCTCTGAAATTGACCTAAACTGTACCGTGATGAAGGACCTAGAGCACATAGACCAAGAAACTGGCCCATACAGTTCGGGCTTTACTTGTCTGAACATCATTTCTCAGCTTTTGTACCCACCCCACCTCTCCAATTTAAACTCTGTTTGGTTTGCTTCCTTTTAACAAATCCTGGTCACATGGAATCTGAATCTAAGCGAAAAAGGAGTCATTCCAAGGTGGGCCAGAACAGTTAGAGTCAGAACACACTTCAGGAGTCAGGAATGGTGGCGGCAGAGCTGCTGGTATAAAGTGGATCAGAGAAGGAAACCAACAGCTGCTGTGATTACTGACAATCTATTTAGATCAGAAGGTGGACCAGTGAGCAATATAAACACTTAGTTTCCACTTAAATGTTGGAATAATCATTCAGTCAAAAGAGAGAACAAAAATGAAAGGACAAAGAGCTGGTAAGGCAGGAAAGATGGATAAATACTGGTGAGGCCCATCCAAACGTGAGTCTCTAACATCCTTCCTACGTGAATGGACAAGAGCAGTACTTTAGTCATCTCTAATGTCTCCCATAATATCCAACACAGAGCCTTGAATTTATGTGCATTAATAATATATATTTGTCTAATGAACGACAAAGACCTCCCTTGAAGTTCTGATCTAATGACTCACAGCCTTAGTATCTAGAGTTCTTCTCTCTCTCCTTAACCTCTCCTACTGCAGTTTCATCCTTAACTTAGAGGGGAGGAGTTAGAAGGAGGGTCCATATGTACACCTTTATTTTCACCTTTGTTGTTGTTGTTAAGTGCCATTGAGTCAGTTCCAACTCATAGCAACCCTGTATAGGGTTTCTGAGGAGCAGTTGGTGGGTTTGAACTGCCAACCTTTGAGTCCTCGTCCAATGCTTATCCTACTGTGCCACACCTTTACTGGGTAATTAATTTCAGCAATCCCCAATACCTTTAATACTTTCAGCTGCTATTTTCCAGTTCTCTAAATCATAAAATTCTTGGCTCAAGTAATTTTTAAAATATTTTATCCATCCATCTAATCAGAATATTCCCACCAACCCCAGTCAAGCTGTATGAGGATCTGTCTGTTAAGTGACCAGAATGCTCTTTCTCTGAACAATATGGAGCATCCCAGCTGCAGTACAAGGAAAAGAAGCCAAGGTTCCCAGGCCCTTCCTACCGAAGAATCCTCTCAAACTCTTCTCGGTCCCGTTGCACCTGAACAGCTAAAGAGTGCTCCTTGAAAGCCACCTGTTCCAGCCGACTCTTGCGCAGCATGGCCTCTGTTTCCATCTTCTTCTGTGCATTCTCCTTTTCCTTTCTGCGCCATTCTCTGTCTGCAACTTCCTGGTTGCGCTTGGCCCTCAAGGCATCCTGGGAAATGAGAGGGTGGGGAAGAAAGGGACCAGTGAAGGAGCAAAGAAACTTCAGGTACCTGTCAGGTGCAGTCTGCTTTGAGAAGCATCATAAATTTCTCTGGCAGCAAATTATTCTAGGGGAAAAATGAATGGAATCCTGTCATAGAACTTTCAGGTCAGAAGACACCCTGAGGGGCACCTTGTCTTTCCACCCTACTCATTCCAATTCTTTCCCAGTACCTCAAACACTTCCAGGCAGCTCTGCAATTGCTTCTAATTTTAAAAACTGCTAATGACGGAGATGCCACAGTGTCCTCTGGTGACACATTTCAGTGGTTAAGCTTGAAAGTTTTTCATGTAGCATCCAAAGACTTTCTCTTGAACCTTAAGCACATAGTGTACCATTCAATCCTCGCTTCCAGAGACAAGGGGAGCAGCCCCAATGTGTGGCCCTCGGAGTACGGGAGTCTAGAAATTTGAATTCTCCTTTCTATACCTTCCCTCCCTAGAGGTCATTGCACAGGCTTTCAAAGGACTAGTTGGGAGGGCAGAAAAAGAGAAGGAAGCCAGTAGTGAGTACCTGTTCTGCCTGGAAGTCCTGGGCCTTCTCCTGCATGGCTCTCAGGCGGGCGATCTCCTTCTCTTTCTCTCTCCGGATCCTCTCCTGCTCTGCCTCAAACTCTGCTTCTCGAGCCTGCCAGGAAGAAAAGGCTTTGTAGCTAAAAGAATCGCTCGTGGTGACCCAGCCTTGTGAGGAGTCCCTGGGTGGCACAGATGGTTATGTGCTCGACTACTAGCTGAAAAGTTGGAGGTCCAAATCCACCAAGAGGTACCTTGGATGACAAACCTAGTTAACTGCTTCTGAAAGATCACAGCCTTGAAAATTCCATGGAGCAATTCTACCCTGTACACTATGGGGTTGACATGAGTTGGGTTCGACTCAGTAGTCACCAACAACCTCAGACTTGCAAAGAGAAACAAAGTCCCTGCAAAGATTTGCCCCATACACCTCCCCCTCCCACTTCCTGGCTCCTTTTGGTGGTGGTGGTGGTGGTGGTTGTAAGCCAAGGGGTCAATTCTGATTCACAGTGACCCTGTGTAGGATTTCTGCAGCTATAAATCTTTACAGGAACAGAAAGCCTTATCTTTCTCCTGAGGAGCGACTGGTAGATATGAAGTGCTTGCCTTGTGGTTAGCTGCCCAGTGAGTAACCCACTATACTACCAGGGTTCCTTTGGCTCCTTTTAAGGCACGGCAACATTGAACTTAGCAATACCTAGACAAAAAACAATTAATATTTGCCCAAAGGCTTTGTTGTTTATTAAATGCTTTCAGGTGTATTCTCTGAGCGGGCCTTCACAGCATCTCATGCGATAGATGTTTACAGATGAGAAGACTGCTTGCTGTTCAGAGAGCTGATCTTTTGGCCAGGATTGCATAACTAGTAAACCACAAGACAATTTGAATGCAGGTGTCCTGAATTCAAATTTCATGCTCCTTCCACGACATCACAGAAGGTCAATGGACCAAGTTTCCAGAAGTTACGGTATAATTCCCTGCCTGTCTTATAAACTACAGTGGATGGAGGTCATCTCATTAGTCCCTGGGCAAGGGACCAAACATGCTTTGGGCGGTTCCGTAGTGTTTAGCAGATGCTTAGGATGTGAACCATTATAATTAATTCCTTTTACCACTTCTCTCCAACAGCTGTCTGCCAGTTTGTCATACTATGGTGGCTTGCCTGTTGCTATGAGGCTAGAAGCCATGCCAGCAATATTTTAAATACCAGCAGGGTCACCAATGGTGGATAGGTTTCAGCAGAGCTTCTAAGTTAACACAGTAGGAAAAAAGGTCAGGTGATCTATGTCTGGAAAGTAACCAATGAAAAATCCTATGAGTCAAAACAGAATGTTGTCTGATATAGTTCTAGAAGATGAGCCACCTAGGTTGGAAGGTACTCAGATACACAGAGGCCACAGCAGCATACTTGAGCACACCAACAGTGGTGAGGTTGGAGGACTGGGTAATGGTTCATTCTGTTGTGTATGGGGTCACCGTGAGTCAAAGCTAACTCAACGTCAACCAACAACCATTCCTCTAAAATAAAAGGCATGTCTAAAAATGTACTAACCCCAGCTAATGGGGCAGGATGGGAGGAAATGAGATTTTTCCATGAAGAGCATTCCTTAGCCCCTTGTTCTACCTGTCCAGCTTCTTCTGTACCACCCAGTGAGCTGCCTGACTGTGAGCCGTGCATAGCTGTGTGTCAAGCCAGTTGCTCTGTTCCACCTTGTCCTGGGTGACAGGGCAGGCAGGGAATTCTAGATGCTTCCACAACCAATCTCTGCCTGTATTTCTGAAAAAGAGAGTCCTGACTGCAAGAACAGAGGCCACCTTGAGTTCAGGGGAGGATGCTTACAGTGGATGTGGGTATGCCAAGCTCCTGATCCCTTTGCAGTCTTTAACCTCTCCCAGCTTCACCCTGCCTATGTCCTTCCCATGTATGAAGACAAAGACATTCTTCTCTGGCTCAGAAATCTATGGTGATTTCTCATCATTCCATACTTCTGGCTCTGCCCAAGGTTCAAGGCATCCTACCAACTGCTCTCAGCTCTCCATCATCTCAGCACCGTCTTTTCTTACTGTTTCCACCACAGAGTCTCTACTGTAGTCAGCAAACCTGCTCACCCACTCCCACACATCATCAATTAGATTACCACCACCTTAACCCATTCAGGGAAGTATGAAGGGGCTTCAAAAAGTCTGTGGAAAAATGGAATTATAAGATAATGGAAATTTTTCCATGAACTTTTTGAAGCTCCTACATAGTTACAGAGCTATAGATGATGTACACAGCATTATTCCAGGTACTTTACTTCTGAGCCTAATCTGATAGACATACACTGAAACTGTCAATACATTCTTAATCAATTAATGATAATTTCGCACGGTTGCTATAAGAATTAAGTAAGATAACATACATAAAGCACTTAGCAGGGGGCCTATGCACAGACTAAGTGTTCAATAAATGGTAGTTAAAACATTGTTATTATGTACACTCATCTGTGTCTTTAGTCTTGCTTTCTCATTCTAGTGCCCGCAAATCCCTGGAATCTAATAACAAAGTCAAAACCAAGGCCAATATATCAACTTTTGGGGCTTTATTTTCTGTGGCTTGTGTTTGGAATAAAGAAATATATCAGACACGCCTTTTCAAATTATACTCACACCTTCTGTCTGCCCTTGGCTAAGAATCACTAGTATGGTAGTGGTGGTGGTGGTTGTGTGCTGTGGAGTCGGTTCCAACTCATAGTGATCCTGTGTAGAGCTTCTGAGACTCTTTAATGGAACAGAAAGCCTCTTCTTTCTCCCACAGAGCAGCTGGTAGATTTGAACTACTGACCATTTGGTTAACAGCCTAGATTGTAATTCACTATGCTACCAGGGCTCCTTAAACTACTATGTTGTGACACTGAGTCGGCTCCCACTCATATTGACGCAGTATAGAGTTTCCAAGGAGTGGCTGGTGAGTTTGAACAACCAACCTCGCAGTTCAAACAGACCTTGTAATGGAGTGCTTATCCTACAGGGCCACACCAGGACTCCATAAAGGCGCACAAGAGATGTACAAAGTGCTTTCTGTTATCATGGGACTTGGAAACCAGCAGAGGACACAGGTTCAACACATGAAGAGTTCAAAAACTTTCCCGCCACCTCAGGTGCTTCCTCGTGTACACAAATGCCCACTCTCTCCAGCTAAACTGTACTTTAACAACCTTCAACCTTTTTTAAGCCCCATTCCCCTCAGATCCCAATCATTTCACTACTCAAATTTGCCCCGAATGGGTGCACACATTCATGAGCTACATCCATCTGTGACTGTCTGTGCCTATTTCTCTTCTCCACAGTGCAGTTGTTCCTATAGGTCCTACAGTGTAGAGGGAGAGAAGGATCTATTTTCTGAGTCTAGCACCTAATACAGGACACCCAATTCCACAAGAAATTCACAAGGCAGCTGACTCATGATTACTGGGGATATAATTATCCAGGTCATAAGGAATCCACAAAAACTTTACTTTCACCAATACTTCTAATTTTCTTCCCTACCTGCACATGATCCTCCTCCCAACTCCTAATCAAAGGTGTTAACAAGGCTAATAACACACTAATTTGGATTCCTTTTTAGGTTAGCTTCTGCTAGCAAGCAGACTGGCCAAGATGAAGAGAAAAAGAAGGTAGGCCCTTGAATTAAGGGCCTGTATTTTAGAATGAGGAGATGGCTACCTTCCATTGGAGCTCCCTTAGTTCTCAGGCCTGTCTCTCCCTGAAGCAGACAGACAAACATTCCATTACATTCAGATGTTCTGAGGCCTCAGAAACCAGATCCTTACCATCTTCTTCTTGGTGAACTCCATTACCATCTGGTCTGCCAGTTTCTCCTGAGCCAGCAGTTCTGCTTTCTGTTTCTGGTTTTCATCATTGATGCGCTTGATCTCAGCTTGCATCTTTAATTTTTCCTGGTGCCTTCGTTCCATGTCCTGACAGAAATAAAAGCAGACAGACTCAGAGCAGAAAGAAATAAGACAAAAGACCCCAGCATAGAGGGACAGAGAAATACAATGCACTGCACACACTCTGGCTTCCACCCTTTGTTGAAGCTGCTCTTTCAAGGGTCATCAAGGGCCTCTTCTAACTAAATGGCTTCTTTCCAGCCTTTTTTCAACTTGATTGTTTGACAGAACCTGACTCTGTTGACCTCTACATATTTTCAGGAAGTGGAGGTTCTTAAAATTCTACTCAGTGTCTCCCACATGTCATGCAAATCCCATCCCTGTAAATTCCTTCTATTTAACCCCAAGCTTTGTCACCATTCAGTAGTGATGATTAAAATAAGTATTGCCCTAAGTAGAATACTTTCCATTCATTGAGCACTTTACATATACGTTACTGTTGTTAAGTACCTTGGAGTCACTTCTGACTCATAGCAACTCTGTATAGAATTTCTGAGGAGTGACTGATGGGTTTGAACCATTGACCTTGTGGTTAGCAGTACAGTAGTTATCCTATAGTGCTACACCAGTACTCCATTACAGATACATTGTTGTTGTTGTTAAGTGCCGTCGAGTCCGTTCCGACCCGTAGCAACTCTGTATAGGGTTTCCAAGGAGTGGATGGTGAGCTTGAACGTGGAGGTTCAAACCGAGTTTGCAGTCCAGCGCATTAACCCACAGCACCACACCAGGACTCCACAAATCTATTGTTGTTGTTGTTGTGTGCCGTGGAGACGATTCCGACTCATAGCGACCCTGCACAGGGTTTCCGAGGCTGTAAATCTTTATGGGAACAGAAAGCCTCATCTTTTTCCTGTGGAACAGCTGGTAGTTTGGAACTGCTGACCTTGTGGTTTGCAGCCAGATTCATAACCACTACGCCACCAGAGCTCCTTACAGATCTATTAGGGGGTTTCAAAAAATGGAGTTAAAAGAGAATTTTTCCACGAATCTTTTGACGCCCTCTTGTACTATCTCTCATACCTAAATGTTAAGTACCAGCGAGTCAGTTCCAACTCATAGTAATTGTGTTAGGGTTCCCAAGAAGCAGCTGGTGGGTTTGAATTGCCGACTTCATGATTAGTAGTCCAGTGCTGATCCTACAGTGCCACACCGGGAGTCCAGACATCTAAATACATACTCATATAAAAGGCCTGGAACACAGGCTTTGTTATCTCTATTGTACAGATGAGAAAACTGAGGCCCAGGGCCACACAGCTAATAAACACCACTCAGAATTTGGAAACTTGGTCTATCCAACTTAAAGTTGCAACCTCCCTGACCCCAACTTTCAATAACTGCTCCGGTCCTGGGCCCCTTCTGCACTAAGGTGGTGCCACATCATCTGAGGCATGATTATACACTGTCTTACAGGGCTCCACCCACTTCATCTGTGCTCACATGATCCCCCAGTGGAGAGCAAGAACCATGTTCCCATCCATCCTTTCCTTCCCAATGCTATGCAGCCCAATGTGCAGAAAACAGCAAATCGTCATAAACAATGGCTAAATGAGGCAGGGAACGGGAGATCAAAATGAGTGTCTGTGATAAAAAGGGTAGTGGGAAGCCTTAAACACAGAGGAACACAAAGTCAGAATGAGATCAGAGTACCAGCGTGACCGTGAGTGGCAAGTTCTCAGTCATCAGACCACCTGTGAGCACAATCACAATCTCAGGTCATAATGTGAAGGGGCACTGAATACTGCGTAGCTAGTCTCGCTATCACCTCCACATCAAACTCCAACTCTGTGCTTCAGACTTTTCTATCCATCAACCCTTTCCACTCCCACACTGCTTCTGGCTACTTCCATTTCTCCAAAAATGAAATCCCTGCCTGACCTTTGAACTCTTACTGAACTCAGCTTTCTACCCTGATTCTTCAGCCAAAGCAGCTCTGCTGCTTAGGTCTGTGGTGGTGGTGGTGGTGGTAGTTATGTGTCATAGAGTCAATTCAACTCATAGTCAGACCCTGTACAGGGTGTTTCCGAGGCTATAAATCTTTACAGGAGCAGAGAGCCTCATCTTTCTCCCACAGAACAGCTGGAAGTTTCAAACTGCTGATCTTGAAATTAGCAGCCCAATTCATAAACACTGCGCTACCAGAGCTCCTTACTTTCCTCCCTAGGAGGAGGCAAGAGGGTTGTCTGTTGGGCATGACTCAACCTAAGAATTCCACCTTAGTTCCACTGACCCTCAAAGCTAAAGAAGCTGCTTGTCTCTATCCAATGTATTTACTTACTGTTTTGCCTATTTATTTATTTGTTGGTTTGTTGTTTTTAATGGTTCATTTCATTTCTGAGAAACCAAAGGACTTTCCATAGTTCTCATCTTTGAAGTTGTGCAATCCTAGATAGACTCTCTGCACTCTTCTCCATCTTGCTACCTGAGACAAGGCCAATCAATCTAAAGCTCTGGGGAGGCACAAGTTTCAGCCTTAAACTTGACTAGTAATACTTCCTGGAGACTCAGGGAGTTCCCACTAGAAGGATATCAGAAAGTCAATGATGCAACTTGGATATAATAATGTTGACTTACTGGGATATGGAACTTGCAAGTCTCAGTGAGCCAGCCCATCAATTCCCACTTTCCACAATACAATTGGATTTCCCAGTCTTCATTTCTCACCCCTTTCCCTCCAGGATGAAGCCTAGGAAATCCAGCAGGGTCACCCATGGTGGACAGGTTTCAGATGAGCTTCCAGACAAAGACAGACTAGGAAGAAAGACTGATGAACTACTTCCGAATATTTAGTCACAGAAAACCTTATGAATAGCAGAGAAACACTGTCAGATATAGTGCCAGAAAATGAGCCTCCTCAGGTTGGAAGGCACTCAAAATGCGACTGGGGAAGAGCGGCCTCCTCAAAGTAGAGCTGACCATGATAACGCAAATGGAGTAAAGCCCATGGGAGAAAAGCCCGCGGGACCTTCATCTGCTGATGGGGCACAACTCAAAATGAAGAGGAACAGCTGTAAACATCCATTGAAAATTGAAACATGGAATGTACAAAGTATGAATCTGGGAAAACTGAAAGGTGTCAAAAAATGAAATGGAATGCATAAACATATGATATCTTAGGCATTAGTGAGCTGAAATGCACTGGTATTGGCCATTTTGAATCTGACGACTACATGGTTTACTATGCTGGGAATGACAAATTGAAAAGGAATGGTGTTACCAGAACCTGATTGGAACTTAATTCAACAGCATTGTAGGAGGTTGTGGAACAATATACACTTGTCTGTGGATATTCATCAGCTACATGCTCAAATTTCTGATATAAGTAATTCTCAAGTTGAGAACTGAGTGGCTACTAATTTGCTACCTCG